TAAAGGGATTTAAGATCTACTTTGAGATTCCACCTTTTTAAAGTGGATATTTCCTTTATTAGATGGATGACCTGGAGGTGTGCGTGCAAATAAGGGGACTTTTGAAGGCTCTTAGAAGGTTGTATCAGTGGTTCATCTGTACCAGTTTAGTTCCATCTCTAATCAAACACACCTGATCCAGCTAATCAAGGTCTTTGGGTTCTCTCTAAGACATAGAGAGGTTTGAAATAAACTTTAAAAATATCGTCAAACATGGTCGTGATTCATTCTGTTTAGGAATGGGTCAACATGTTCGATTTGTATTGGTAACAACAGAACTTGCGACCATATTTGGCTTCGGGAAACGCACCCCAGATTAGTGTCAGGCATATCCCTAAACCAGTCTAATTATACAGTACTTCTTTAAGATCGACTTGTCATTCATTCACCCAACCAAGTAGTCAATTTTAAAAATCCCTACTCTGATCACCCACGTAAACATATATGGGACTATACCACTCCATAACGTGAAAAAACAAGCATAGAAATGCAGAAATTGCATATGGCCTGTTGACACATGTAAACGCAGACCCACACAGCAATTCATTCAATTAAGAGCTACTCTTAAACCTAGTGGGAGTTCAAGCAAAGAATGTGCGTCTGTTATAAATAACAATAATAATCTTAATAAACAACCAGAGGAACACAAGAGGAAATGATTGATTAGAGAAGAGCGATTGCAGTGGAATTGTTTCCCTTGTGACCAATTTCAACATGCTACTGCAAGCAAAACACGAAACACAATAAGCAGGCAAAAGCAAGAGGGCCTTGAGCCTGATTCGGTCCTAATGAACTGACAGATCAGAAATAATAATCCAGCCAAAGGACCATAAGTCACTGCAGAGGTGTAATAATGTCAGCCTTGTTAATTAAGGCAGCGGTTTGATATAAATGCACCAGAGTAATATATATATAAACAAGTGTTGCTAGTCATGGTTGCAATGGCGTAACTGTGTCAAAGCTAAATCAAATAGTGAGTTCTGGGCTTCTGCTGTTGTGTATTATCCTGCTGCACTACGAAGCTGTTATATCACCTCCACCATCTATGATTAGTCAGACATACCAGCGATTTTGCTTACAGAACTCAATACTGAGACTTTCTCAATACTTAATACTTTCTGCTCTTTACTTATAATTGCAAGAGGTTTAGAAATTGTACTTCCATGAATATTATCCTGATTGAGTATTCGATCAATGTGTGGTCATGTAAAGCCAATAGATGTGCATGTTCTTATATGTAATTTCTGATTGCACGTTATGCTCTATTGAACCAGTGAGCTGAAAAAAAACAAACATGCTGGATAACATCTAATGGGTTTTTATCTGTTGCTAAGGGCCAAACTGGGAATTATTGGATTGTATTTAATTGGAATTTTTTTAATTGATTTTGCTGATATGGTATGAAGGTTTTTGAGAGAGGACATTTGCCTTTAGAATAATTTGGTACATTATAACAAGAGGACAACAGATATAATGCTGCAATACTAATAAATTCAAAACACAACCCCCCCAAAAATTTGTGAATGTAGACATTTGTACTTTCATAATGTCATAGTTCTAAATGAAACTAAATATTTAAAGAGAAAAATATAGCATAGGACTTGTGCATAGATGGATTTTTATATGCATCTGGTTGGATTTCATTGGTATAAGTGGACATTTCAGAATAAACAAATTAAGAAAGTAAATTTTGATTTCATGTTGTTGTTGTTGTTTTTTTAGTAGCCCTCATCAAGTAGCCCTGATATCACCAGAATGACATTCCAGTATGTTGGCCAGTTATAGCATGCTGTTGTGTATATATGTTTTGTGAGCATATCTTTATTGAACCCCGCGGGGACTCAGGCGAGTGCGCTTACATTGTGTTGAGCCGAGCAGCGCTCTAAAAATGGCCCTCCTCTGCTGCTCATCATGGGGAATTTGAGCCCAAGCGAGATGTACACCTGGAAAGGTCAAAGCTTTAGTGAAAGACTCAGCTGAAATATTGATCTTGACAAGCGGTATTTTGACACAACCCTGTAAAATAATAAACAGCTAAACAAAGATCCTCCTTTCTGAAAGAAAGTACCAAACCAGCAGATAAAATAAGCTTGTACATTCTGGAATCAGGTGATGCTCGTATACTGCATAATGCCGCATCATCTGCCGTACGGCAGTAAGTTATGGTTTATAATCAGAGGTACACAGCTCGGCGGGAGTCTCATATGTTACTCATTGAAAAGCTCAACTGCCTTTGATTCGTACAGCTGTCACCTGGAATTATATCGCCATTGTTTTGTGGTGTTGTTTTGTCTCTAATATTCTGTTAGCAAACCATTATTCCAATTGCAGTCTGTTTTGTGCCAAAGCTCTCACTGCAGCACAAAAGCTTATTTGATATGGAAAATACCTACTTTTAGCACTTCAAACATTTTTAAAACAAAGCCTTATTATCAGCCTTTAGAATGTCATTAAACAGCAACAAACGCCGATCGCACCGGCATTCACACCTTTTTAACCCTCACTTTATTTTCGAACAGTTGCTCCTCTTCTAATCTAGATTCAAACAAACAGAAAAGATAGGGACATTTGCATTTGTCATAATGCTGCATTAACGCAGTGGTCACACTTAGTTTTTTTGTGATAAATGCTACGCTAAAGCACAGATTCAGCTGGTTTGTGGTGACAAATGAGAGCTTTGAATAAATATCTCCTCTTTACTGTTTATTAATATACTAAAAATGATGAATGTGTAACGGGGCACGTGGAACGCGGTCGTATGGAAAAATGATGGTTGTTGCGGCTCTAAACCTGCTCTTGAGTAATACATCTGGTGCAAAGTGCCGCAGAGCCAGACCTATTACAGTATGGTAAGTTTTTAATCTTTTAAAAAATATGGCCATAAATATCAGAGATGCTCTGTTTCTCCCTCAGTCGCTCTGGTCTTTTTTGTTCCACGGTAGAAAGCTCTCACGCACCTGTTCACAAAATGATATATAATTTATCAGCGAATACAGAGACAAATAAACAGCCCTAAATAAACAAGGCCTTGATTTACATCACTTTATTCATTTTTTGTTTTTAATAAGAATTCAGGTAATCAAGGACATTTTGTTGTCACTCCATAATTTCAGAGCAACAAATGGGATATCATCACATAACATCTTGACTAGAATATGGGTATGTTAACATTGCTTGTGATATAGGGCCAGAAACGTACACAAGACAGATGAATTGCCCCACATTAATATATGTCCAGATTTCAGAACTTGACCCTACATTAGTGTACCTCAACCTGTTTGAGTATTTCTCGAAAAATGTTCCAAGCAATTTTTCATTTACTTTAATTCATCTGGACCATTTTTTATGACCCAATATCTAGGTTCCAAAATTATGTTTTTCCAAATAACACATTAACACAAAATTTAAACACATTTAATTTTGTTCTACAAAACTTGCATTTGATCGCTATTGGTCTTAAAGGTATAGTTCACCCATAAATGTAAATCGTGTCACTATTTACTCACACTCGTCATTTCAAAGCTGCACTACAAAATGTTTGACATTCTTGTATGAAAAAAAAAAAAAGTCAAATAAGATTGTCATTTGGAGTCTTGTATCTCAAAACACATTGTCCCTCAAAATATATTATTTTGTTCAAAAAGTCAAGAGGGTTGAGTTATTGATGACAGAATATTCATGTTTGGGTAACCTGTCCATTTAATGCAAACTGAATCCTGCTTTGCTCAAATATGTTCAGTACACTGAGTTTGTCTTTGCGCCTAAGTCACATTATAACCTACATTTCACATAATAAGTAAAGTGCATGAGATTCTGAAATTTAATGTAGAGATGTAAACTACAGTCCAAATATCTTGACCAATTCAGGTGTATTTAATTCAGTTCATCGGGTGCCAAATTCATAACTGAAATGAGGCAAAAAGACACTTTGGAATCAGCATGTTCACCTGTACTATGAACACTTGCCAAAGTATGTCGTTCTGCCTCCTAGTGTGTTGAGTTTGTTACTTTCCTCAGAGATTGTGACAGTCTAGAGCTCCATCACCAAAACAGATCTGAACATTTCCCAGACTCCAAGTGGCTTCAATCCAAGGCCTATTTATTTACCCTTCAGAATGATCCAGGATATTGTAAAAGCCATGAGTGGATCAATTATAATTTTCAGGAGTATTGAATTATTGTGCACATTTTCTGGATGCATCATACAGACTGATGCACATTTCCCAAAGGCCATCTCTCCTTCAGCTATTATATATGTCCTGACACCCTGAAATAGGACTGTCCCTTAACTCTTTCCTCGCCAGCATTTTTTATCCTATAAGTTTCATGGGCCCCAGAATATTTTGTTTTATGAATATTTAAACATGCAATATATCAAAACAAAGAACAGATCCTCTGTTTTTAAACAAACAAACAAACAAACAAAAAAATTATTCTAGCTTCATGCATTTTTTTTATCAACACTTGAATGTGGGTAAGTTTCATAAAAAGCTAAATTTTGAGCCAAAAGCTGAGAAAAACTTGTTTTTGTCAAAGACTACTGTACATCCAGATCGGATTCAGAACGGTGATCAAAACAGACACCCATTAATACATATTTGATGTTTGATGTAAGCCCACATTAAGCAGTTTTTCCCACAGGCTATTAATGAAACATTTGACATTCACTAAACATCACATTTCTCAAAATCACACTATTCATGCAATAGATTTTCATAGAGTTGGCTTTAATGAAATAAAAATTGGGACAGGAATTGGAAAAAGACGACATCTCAAGGCTGAAACATGTAAGGTTGGGCTCATTTCATTGCCTACCCCTCTGAATTATGTACATTCAATGACTAACTTCAGTTTGTAAGGTGGTTTTCTCATTCTTGATTGGTTTGGGTTACGATTTATGTGATTTTTATATTAATTTAATTTCAGAGTTGGCTTACCCTTTGCTTTTTTTACTATTACAGGCGTTTCCATGCATATCGACAGGAATTTATGGTAAGCAAAATGTCTATTCATACTCCAAACCTTTTCAGTGTATGTGTTTCTGTGTGATTCGTGATTTGTGCATGAAGAAGCATGTGTGCAGTTTAGATAGCAACTTACATGAATGCTCACTATGTGTGTGTGTGTGTAATGAAGGGTTAAAAGAGCTGATGATGAACAAATTACCTCTACAATCTTATCATGTCTTTGAACACTCTCGGCATTACTTTCACTTTCAAAAGTTGCTCTTGTTTTTTTATTAAAAAGATGTATGTTTGAGTGTGCATTTCTGCATTGTGTGTGCGTGCGTGCGTGTTAGGGGTTATGTACACATGGTCCTTCAGAAATCATTCTAATATGCCGATTTGATGCTTAAGAAAGATTTCTTATCACTGTTAAAAACAGCTGATAACAACTGCTTAATAATTTTGTGGAAACCGTGATACATTTTTTTTCAGGATTTTTTTAAACATATTTTATGATCAAAAGATCAGCATGTATGTGAAATAGACATTTTTAGTAACATTATAAAAAGCATCCTTGCTGAATAAAAGTAAAATAATTATAATAATAAATATAGCTGCAAGCAGCAATAATCGGGGCCAAGCACAAAAAGGAACAATGTTGACATGAAAGCATGACTGGCCAGAAATGGCATGGCAGAAAAACGGCAACAATAAGTAATTAAAGATATTTTTTATTATTTTAGTCAAAATGGCTGAACATACAATCACTGTAATATTATTAACTTGCTTATCACTTTTGACCAATATCAAATTATTATAGTGTGGTCAGTGTGAGGTGACAATGATACAAAATGTTTGGTGTCAAAATGCCAAAGCGTTGCAGAGTTACAGCCTTAGAATCAGTTTGGCATCATGCCAACAAATTCATTGAAATATGGTATAATTGTTCTCAGCCGGACCCAAGGAATCAGTTATCAAGACCAGTTTCATTTTTAATAGAACATTATTATAATTGTTCGAAATTTCATTATACAATTTGACCAGAAGGTCAACCAAATCCAAACTTTTAAGCATGTGAATATTTGATTTTACCACTAGATGGTGCTGGCTCGAAACTTCTCAGGCTCCTTCAGGGCATCGTGCCAATAACCCATACCGAGTTTCGTAACGATACACTAATGCATTCATAAAATAGAACATTTTAATACAAAACTCAAAATTGGATATAATTTGACTCGAACCGTTCAGAAGTTATAAGCAAAAATAGCCATTTTGCATATCTCCTGTCCAGTAGGTGGCGCTGTGCTGAAACGCTGCATGTAGCCTCAGGTCATGCTTGTGATGACATGTACCAAGTTTAGGCTGAATACGCTTAAACTTTGCGGAGATATTGCCTCACGTCCAATTTGGCGCGCTCTTTCTTCTAAATCGTTTGCGCGATAATCGAGAACGGTTGGGTTTATCAAAAAGGTATTGATAACTAGTGATTGAACAGTATGATGTATGTGTGTGTGTGTATTGATAAGATTCTATCACTCAAGAAAGTGCCTTTGAGATCTCAAATCTTCATAAAGGATGCGGTTATGTTTGATTCAATAAATAATCTGCAACTTCCCTCTCTAGCATTGTGTAATTGTTTAGATAATCACTGAGAGAGAAAGCATTTACTATGAAAGTAAGAAGAGCACTTCAATATCATGATCAAAGAGCTAATAACCTAGAATACTTCACAAACCTGACGTTTTCTTGTTTCTTTCGGCCAAGAAGAAAGTAAGCACTCGTTTAGGAGGAAAATTAATGCCATACGCTTGAGCTTTCATACAGTTTGCTTTTGAGAACATTCCTAAATAAGCTGAGGGAACTTTGCTTGCTCTTCACTGTGAATAAGCTAACCAAGCGAGACAAACTCAATCGATGTGGCTACATCACCAGATTAACCAGCCCCATGCACCCTGATCGAACATGTAGCGCTGTCATTCACAGCCAACCAGAGCTGACACCCCATCTCTCTTTTTCGCTGCATCATGGGAGCTGAGGTCCAGGTTGACAGATGATCGGGGGACAGAGGGTAAGGCGTAAAGGGGCTGTTCTTTGGGGTTGGAAACGTGGACAGCAGGCAGGTAGAAAAATGAGGCCTCACTCCCAGCTGACAGTCCAATCCCTCAGCCCACACCATTAGCACGGGTAGAGCTTTCACACACATGGCGTATTGGAGGAGATGCCACCCATAAACAAACTGGCGCCTGCCGCCAGCAGAGGGGTTGGATAGTATGATAGAGGTTATTAAGTCCGGCGCTCATAGCCTATCAATCAATGCCACGAGAGACGGGTTAAAACAGGTTATTTCTTTTTCAGAGAGGATGGGACGAACTGGCAAATCTATCAGTGTCTTACATAGTGCGGACACAGGCAAAGCACAGAGGTGGACAGAGGTTGCATCATCCTTTACTTTGTCTGGATCATTTACTTTTTCCTCCCTCTTTCCTGGATATGCAATTGGTTCATAAAAAGCAACAGCTTTTTAGTGCCACATTGAAATTATTTATATATAGAATATATATATATATTTTTTTAAATAAAGGATTGGTATTACAGCTCTGTTATGAGATCTGAAATAGAATTGGTAATATTACACCCCTGTTATGAAATTAAAAATAAATTTTATTCTTGAAATTTTAACTTAATTCTCAAAATATTATAGTTTTAATCTTGTAACGTTGCACTTGAGATTGTTCTCAAAACATTTATTTTAATGTGCACTCAAATATTTTTGTTTATCAGGGTTTGAAATTAACTTTTTCACTCACCGGCCAATTTGGTTACTTAATTTTTAAGTTACCGGCCATTCAGAACTTCTACTAGCCAAAAAATTAAATAAATAAATGAACCAGATTAACTAATATATATATATTATATAATAAAATTTGGATTTCATACATTCATTTCTTATTTAAACAAAATTCTGTAATCCAGCCCTTCCTCTTTCATCCTCATCCTTTTCACCAAAAATGTGTTTTAGGTGGACAGATCAATACAGTACAAAGGACATCAAAACATTTAATATGTTGGCAAATAACAATGTCTTTTCTGTTAACCAAATGCTTTTTAATCTTCGCTATTGCTTCAATGCAAATGAACAAGTGCGCCGTTATTTGTTGCGTAGTGACAGTAAGCCAGATATGCGCAGATTCTGTGCAATACGCTGTATTTGATATATTATGATGACTCATGAGTTGAGTATTTGGCTTGCATGAACTTCCCCAGCAAAGTGAGTAAACATAATAAGTAACACCAAATTGACTAGTGATTTGACAGCATTACCCACCACAGTTGATTTTTACCCGCATTTGGCTGGGTTGGCGGGTGTTGTTTATAAAGGAAAAGTTTTTTTATTTAAATTGAACAGTTTAAATGCTAATAATAATAATAGCTACAGTGCTAACATGCCAACATTTAACCAACAACCTACAATAGACTAAAGTTACAAATTTCAAAAGCATCATAAATTTAGACAGAATAGGGGAAAAATACTTGGATCCCTTTATAGAAAAAAAATCCCTTGAAAAAACTCTCTTTTATTCTATAAAATCAGTTGTTTTCAGGCAGACAGAGAACTGTACTGAGCATGTGTCTTCACACTTGGAAGATATTTAATGTTACAGTTGCCCTCGGTCTCCCCTACAGTTATTCCAACTTTGACAACTTAAAGAGGCTGTTCAGAACTTCTGTGTGTAAGATTCATATCAGGGATAGCTCTAATCCAATAGCCTTGAACCCCACAGGTTAATTCCTCCATTATTATTTTAGCCCGCAGAGAGAGAGAGAGAGAGAGACAGAGTCAAAAAGGAGAAAACTGCAATTACATTTGAACCATCCAGGCATCTTAACAGCCTCCTTCTTATGGTGCTGTCGCAATCTGTCATGATATATCCAGCCCCACCTTTAGTTAAGCAACAAAGAGAAAATGAATTAGACCCAGGTTCATCTTTCACCAAAGCCTAGAGGAGAAACATTTGCCCGTAAGGTTTAATCGTCTGGTCTGACGACTTGGATGGGAATGGAAAGGACAGGGGCTGTCTGACATCAAAATGTGCCACTCATTAGATTAATGTCATTGCCGTTTGAAGAGAGCTCTTTATTCATAATCCAGCTCAATGGGGTATATTGACTTAAAGCGTCCATCACCATATCAAGGTCTGGTCATTTCTGGTTTGTGTACACATGGTGATAAGGCATGGTTTATTATTTTTTATCGCGGCAAAGACCTTCCCAAGGCATTATGGAGAAAAATAAGAGGCTGTTTAATATGGTTTATTAAAGGCTCTCTGAACATATCATAGACATATCGTGATGCATTAGACTTGCAAAGAAATTGTTACAAAGAAAACTAAATGCATATACTGTATATAGACAAAACTATTTAGAGACACCTCTTAATAATTAATTCAGGTTTTTCAATCAGACCTCAGAAAGCGGCAGGTGTGTAAAATCAAGCACATAGTCTGCATTTACAGTCTGCAAATATTTGTTTTAAAAAAATGGGTCGTTCTGAAGAGCTCAGTGAATTTCATCCTGCTTCATCCCTTCATCCCTGCTAGATATTCAACAGTCAACTGTAAGTTGTATTATTGGAAACTGAAAGCGTTTAATAACAGCAGCAACTCAGCCACGAAGCGGAAGACCATGTATAGTCACAGAGTGGGGTCATCGAGTGCTGAGGCGCATGGTCCGTAAAAGTTGCCAAAGTTCTGCTGATTCCATAGATGAAGAGTTCCAAACTTCCACCTGCATTAATATCAGCACAAAAACGGTGCGGTGCGGTGGGAGCTTCATGGAGTGGGTTTCCATGGCCGAGCAGCTGCATGCAAGCCTCACATCACCAAGTACAATGGCAAGCGTTGGATGGAGTGGTGTAAAGCACGCCACCACTGGACTCTGGAGCAGTGCAAACGTGTTCTGTGGAGTGACGAATCACGCTTCTCTGTTTGCCAGGAGAATGTTACCTGCCTGGCTAAATATATTTATAATTACATTTACTTTACATAA